AAAAATGCGAAACCTCACCCCCAATAGAAGACGAAATCCCATCCTATTAAAAATATGTGTATGTGTGTGCTTGTAGCTGGAATGACTGGTGATGTAAGTCCCAGAGTCCCTGAAACTAAATAACACAGTTTAAACACGTGGAGTAGAACTACCAGAGGAAAGCAAGGAACGGCGAGCACAACATCCGAGTGACTCCCCGGTGGTGAAGGAAGGGGTGGGCTCAGAGGGACGAACGTGAGCGCTCACGTGGGTCTGAGGAAACACCCTCACACGTCGTGAACTGTCGCTCCCCGTCTTCGCGGAGGAACGACACAGGACCCTGTGCTGTTCTTTCGTCTGCTCGGCCCTTCCCGGGTTTGCTGCTGGTTCTTCCCGGGTTGGCTACCGACCCTTCCACCTCCGTGGAAGGGCGGTTCCCCCTGCCACTTTCCCCACTTCCGCGGGGGAGCGGCACACCGCCGGCCGGCTCTCTCGGGGGCTGCACAGGTGTTCCTTCAGATAGATGTTCCCTTTAGATGTTCCTGGTGCATGTTGTCTCTCTCCTCCTTTATAGTCCTCTTCCACCAATCCCAACTCTGCTACCCACACGCCGAGCACGCTGCTCTCCTCCAATCAGGAGCAAGATCAGCTCCTGCAGCTCAGTCAATCAAATTGGCGAGAGGCAGCTGCGTAGAACTTGTTACTCCCTTCTCAGCGCCATATTGTGGGAGAGCAGATGCATAGAGTAAGTCTTAATTCCAGTAACTTAGTCTAGTCCGAGTTGCTCCCCATAGTGAACCAGCGTGGCAACTGGTGCTGATATATCGAGGGGCTGGTCGGCAGCATCAGCTGAAACGCAAATGGGCACATTACGGCCCAGGAATTCCGTTTCTAGGATCCACACTAGAGAAACACTTAGACAAGTGCACAGCTATTCGCGGAAGCGTTATTTGTGAAAAGTAATAAACCCTCGAGTGTCCATCAGCAGGGGAATGAACTACAACACCCAGGCACGCCCGGAGTTTTACTCATATACATATACGGCAAATCTCTGAATACTGACGGACACTGAAGGATTGATAGCCATGGGATAGTCTTAAGTTTAAAAAAAGTTTCAGAAAAATGCAGAATATGTTCTAAAACAAAATAAACAAGGTTAGCTTGATATACTTGTACAGGTACGCGTATGCACACATGCGGAGCGAGGTCTGAAAGCAACCACCAAATTGGTAAGGCACCTGTAGGGAGGGGCTGTTAGAGCAGGGGACAAGGGGAGGTTTTAGCTGGATCTGTTTTGTTTGAATTTTTGAAAAGAAGAATGCATTTACTTACTGGTTATATGACTTTTAATAGAGATTATGAAATAGTTATGATGCGAATTCTGTAACAGAGATTGTAAGCACATGATGAAAGGAGGAGTGAGCTGGGCACGTAGGAGAGCTCACAGCAGCAGTGCTATTTCACTGGGCCTTGCTGTTTGCACAGGACTTTGTCAAGTATTTCCAATTTGCTGGAAAACTGAGGCAGGCTATATTTACCAAAGATAACTGTACCAACCACCCCTTCCAGTATGCTCTTCTCTCAGTATGGCATTGACATTCCTCATGGAGAGGCAGGGCTCTGTGTCTCCCCCTCCTCAACCCTGGGCAGGACTTCGTGAGTGTCTTAATGAGCAGAATGTGGTAGAAGGACCACAGCTGACTTCTGAGATTATCTGGCTTCTGCTGGGTCCTTGCTTTCACAGAACGCTCACCCTGGGAACCCGGCCATCCACGCTGTGAGGAAGCCCATAGTAGCCCACGTGGAAAGACCACAGGAAGAAGCTCCTGTGGAGAGGAATGAGGCCCCTAGCCAACAGCCAGCATCCATGCCAGACACACGAGTGAGCAAGCCTCAGAGGATTCCTGCCCCAGGCTTTGTGTTCCCCAGCAGAGGCTCAGATACACACCATGGCACAGAGACAAGCCATCCCCACTGTGCCCTGTCCTAATTCCTGACCCACAGAATCCATGAGTATAATAATGGTTATTTTATACCACAAAATTTGATGGCAGTATGTTATGTAGTCAAAGTAACTGGACCATTCTAAAGGGAAGAAACTACTTAAATAACAAAATGTCACAGAGCACTGTGTGCATGGCAGTTTGGGGTGACAAGTCCAGAAAGGCTGCCTGGGATCAGACCATGACAAGTTTTCTGTGTCAATATAGAAGAAAAGACTTATCCTATTGGCAGTGCAAAATGATTGAACGTTTTTAAGCTAGAAAGTCAAATGCCATGGTCTGAATTTTAGCAACATATCTCAGACCAACGTCAAGGGGAGTTTAGAGAAAAGGAACTTATAAATAAAAAACTTGACTTAAAAAAAGAAAAGATTTGTTTATTTGGAAGGCAGAGATACAGAGCCAGGGGAGACACACAAAGAGAGAATCTTCCATCCACTGGTTTGCTCCCCAAATGGCCACAATGCCTGGAGCTGGGCCAGGCCAAAGCCAGAGGCCAGGAACCAGCACCCCAAGGAATGCCCATGTTGCAGCGGGCAGCTTAACCTTGCATGCCACAGCGTCGGCTCCAAACCTCTCCAGTGAAAGTGTGGGATCATCCTTCAGGCTATCTGTTCCGTGACTTCTTTCCTCTTGGGGTTGCCTCTGATGACATTTACACACAATTTCACTTGCATCTCAATTTCAGGGGAGGGGCCGTCACTATGGCGTAAGGTAAAGCTGCTGCCTATAGCACCGGCATCCTATACGACCCCCAGCTCCAGTCCTGGCTGTTCCACTCTGATCCAGCTCCCTGCCAACGTGCCTGGGAAAGCAGTGGCAGACATCCCAAGGCCTTGGGCCCCTACATCCTTGTGGGAGACCTCGGTGAAGCTCCTGGCTTCAGCCTGGCCCAGCCCTGACTGTTGTGGCTACCTGGGGAGTGAACCAGCAGATGGAAGATACAGTCCTCCCTCCCTCCCTCCCTCTCTCCCTCCCACCTTCCTTCTCTCTCTTGCTCTCTCTCTCCGCCTCTGCTTCTCCTTCTCTGTAACTCTCACTTTTCAAATAAACAAATAAATATGTTTAAAAAATAAAATAAAATGTCAGGGGAAAGAGTTTATGATGACTTGAAAACCTGCAGCTTTGTTCATAATTGCCAAAACCTGGAGACAACCAAGATGCCCTTCACTAAATGAATGAGCAAATGAACAGTGGTGCAGCCTGTTCACCGTGAAAGAAAAGAGCCCCAGTCCACGGAAGGACAGGGAGGAACCTGAATACAAACTACTAAATGGAAGAAGCAACGTGAGAAGGCTATACGCCATATGATTCCAACTGCACAACAATCAGGAAAAGGCAAAACCATGGAGACAATAAAACGATCAGTGGTTGCCGGGGTTAGGGGAGCAGGACTTTCAGGGAGGTGGAGTTACACTGTGATGCTATGATGGTGGACACACGTCATCGTACATTTGTTCAGTCCCACAGCATGTGCGACACCTAGAGCGAGCCCTAATGTAAACTGTGGTTTTGGGTGAAAGTAACTTGGCCATGCAGGTTCATTGATTATAACCAATGGCCCACTCTGGTGTCAAATACTGATAGTAGGGGTAAGGGGTTTATGGGAACTCTCTGCATTTTCCACTCAATTTTGCTGTGAATCTAAAACTGCCCTAAAAAGGAAAGTCTATTTTTTAAAATGTCAGGAAGGAAAAATGTTAGGGGGATGTTAGAATACAAAACGCTTTCTCTTCTGTTCTCCACATTTCTGGAAATGGATCTGTTTACTTGAGTGCCTTACAGTGATACAAGGCAAGCTGTGTAAAAAGTGTAACCACTGGAGCGGGGGTTGGGCTCGTGGTTAAGACACAGGTGGGACACGTGTGTCCCGCACTACAGGGCCTGGTGAGACGCCCAGCCTTCTGCTGACGCAGGTCTTGGGAGGCAGTGGCGCTGGCTCAGGTGCCTGAGTTCCGGGCTTCAGCCCCAGAGCAGCCCTCGTCTTGGATGGCACCTGGGGAGTGACCCAGCAGCTGGGAGTGGGCCCTCCTCCCCCACAGCCAGCTCCCCAGCAGGCTCGTGCACTGTCTCACACAAAAGCTTTACAAGTGTACGTCCCCCTCCCTCCCACACCTGCTTTATAATAAAATCCCATGAATGTGAGCCTGCAAACACATCTACACTAATCCATCGCAGCTTTTATATTTTAGGTGCTGAGGGTCCCTGTAAGTGGCAAATTTAAGGTGCATGGCCCAAGGGGAGGAAGGAGATTGAATCAAAAGCAGAAAGGGCCACCTCCGTCAGCAGGGAGAGGAGGCCCAGACGGCTGTAGGGGCAGAGATGCACTACGCGACGAGAACACCCGGCTGGCCTCTCGGCAGAAGCCCTTCATGCTACCTTCTGAGAAAATCCAGGGGAAGAACGTCTTGAAAATGCGAAGTTCACAGAGAAGACGGAGGATGAATGGCTCGACAGTGAGTCAATCAGGACCTAGAGGGTCGGGAGCCACAGGGAGCCCAGCTGGAATTCAATTGTGCAATTTCTTTGAGGTTAGCTTTGCATCATTTTATACTGCATCTTTCTCTGATGTTAATTATTCAAGAGATGATGAACCAATCTGTGGAACAGACACCATGCATCTTGCCTTTTCATATTTTCCCTAAAAGCCTGCTTTGGAAAAATGTCATAATTTAAACTCTTTATCCAAAAAAAAGAAGTTAATGAAAACAAGAAAAGAAACTGAAATTAATTTTCTGCCTTTTGAAATCATTTGTAAAAGATTTAAGACTTCTAGTTAATTTCTGAAATAGGACAACGAAAAAAGAAAAAAGTAAAATAGAGGAAAATACGAACAAAACCTGGTGAGACAGGATTATAGGCCCACGTGTGGGTCCCATATCCAGGTCAGTCCTGTACCGCATTATCGAAGTTAACTAGAAGCCTACTGGCGCTGTATTCCACAAGTAAGATCCAACACAGGGGAGCCCCTGAGCAGTCTTTATTGCTCGTGTTGCTGAATATTCCTTAATCGTTTACCTGTGTCCTGCAGCTTACACACTTCGGCAGCCCCTGCTGAAAACCGCGCGTGTGAAGAGACAACGGAAGGAGGGACTGCTGGCAAGAGTGGCTTTGGATCCTCATCACAGAACACCATCAGGTCCTGACAAAACACAGGGGAGAACATGAGAGCCGGAAAAAAACAGACTCACTCTCACTAGATGGGGCAATTTAGGAGCGGACCACGTGGTCATATATGCTGATATCACCATGAACACGCTCATGTCGCGCACGTGGAAGTTCTTATACCCCTGGGTTTCTGCGGAGTGTAGGGCGGACTTCGTGCTTGGGGATCTCCCTCTCCTCCCCACAGACACTGTATGGACAAGCAGTGACTCTGCTTAGGCCATTCCCGCTCCCTACCACCCCTTGAGCAATCTTAGAGCAAACTGTCTTCACATGCCAATTTTTTTTAATTAGTAATAAGAATTTTAAGAATACCTGTGTGCTTTTATTCATGTTTTAAAATTTAAACTTTTTATCATGAGGTCAAAAGCAGTCAAAACAGACAATGCAGTCACATGGATGGAACAGCAGTCAGCTATGGCAGATCTCGTTTCCCGTCTGTCCCCACCCCCCACCCGCTTTACGCTGAAGGACGTCCTAGATTCAGCGTTTACTTTGATGTGCATGTCCGTCTTATTCCACTTGGGTTGCTATCACAAGAACTTTATCAACTGGATGACCTATACATAACAAAAACCTGTTTCTTACAGCTTTGGAGGCTGGCAAGGCCGAGATCCCGGTGCTGGCGGATTTGGTGTCTGCTGAGGACCCGCCTCCCCGATGGCCATCTTCCCACAGTGATCTCTCCTAGCAGGCGGTGCTCACGGGGCTCTCTGGGGCCTCTTACAGACGCCTGTCCTTATAACCTAATCACCCAAAGACTCCACCCCTTAATACCATCAGCGTGGGGCTCAGGGTTTGCAGGGGGTGGGGGCAGGGGCAGAGGGAACGAGAACATTCAGACTGCAGCAATCTCTACATGATAAAAAACTCTTTAACACAATAATCGCATCACACTGACAAACTTCACAGTAACTCCTCAATGTCATAAAATTAACATAAACCGCTCAGATTTTCACTTTCTTGTAAGTGTCATAAATAAGGTTTTCTATAGCTGGTTTCAAAGAAGATCCAAATACACCCTGTAAAGTTGGCTTGGCAGATATGTCTTTTCCTGTGAATTGAAGACACTTTTTCCAGTGCTTTACTGAATATATTTAACATACAGTAAAAGGGACAAACTTTAAATGTAGCATTCAGTAGCTTTTGTCCTAAGCATACATCTATGTAACCACTTTTCCTTCATTCCACAAAGGTTCCTGAATTCCTTTCCAGTTGGTACAATCCCCCACCCTCCATAACCCCCATTCCACCTTCTGCTTTCTGTTATCACCAGTGAGTTCTGTCTATTCTTGAACTTCCTATGATAATTACACTATAGAGTCTTTTGTGTCCGGCTCCTATTACTCAACATATCGTTTGTGAGATTCGTCCACGTTTTACTGTATATTAGCTTCTTCTTCCCTGAGCACCCCCGCCCCCTTCTCTTTTGGTGAGAAATCTCCCATTGTATGAACAACATCCATTCTCCTGCTGTTATGCACGTGCTTGTTCAAGTCTTTTTGGACAAATACACTCATTATTACCAGATTATTTCTTCGGAGTGGAATTACTAGCTCATAGGTTTCCTTTTTAACTTCCTTAGACACTGCCATTTTAGAAAAATCATTTTCCAAAGTGAATTACCACTTCTGAAAAGTCAGACTTAGATTCTGAAATAACTATAGTTTTACATTCAATTGTAAGAAATGAGAGAGACTCTACATCTCCTTTACTCAGTTTTCCCCAAACATGTCACCCTGGAAACTCACGGTACAGCACCACATGCGGGTACCGACACTGGCGGAGTCAGGACACGGAATACTCCATGGAAACTCACGGGACAGCACCACATGCGGGGTACCGACACTGGCGGAGTCAGGACACGGAACACTCCATGGAAACTCACGGGACAGCACCACATGCAGACACTGACACTGGCGGAGTCAAGACACAGAATACTCCATCACAGTAACGAGGATCCTTCCTGATGCTCTTTATAACCACACCCTCCCCCCATGACCCCTACTACTCAGTTCTTTATTTCTATAATGACATTTTAAAATGTTATATAAATGGAATTATACAGCATGTAACCTTTGAGTATTAGCTTTTTCTACCTGGCATAATTCCTGAAGATGCATTCAAATTCATCCAAATTGTATGTACCAATAGTTGCTTCCCTTTCATTGCTGAGTACTATCCATGATATGAATACATTACAGTTTAATCTTTGACAGACACCTGGATCTTTCTATGCTTGTGCTATTACAAATAGAGCCGCTGTGAACATTTGTGTACAGGTCTAGTATGCTTTTATAGGTAAGTTTTCATATTTCTGGGATAGATGCATAGGAGTACAACTGCTGGGTTTATGGCAGTCAATGTTCAGTTTTACAAGAAATTATCCAACTTTTTCAGATAGCTGTATCATCTGAATCCCCACCAGTAATACAGGAAGGATCTTATTTTTCCACATCCTTACCAGCATCTGATGGTGTCCACCTTTTATTTTAGCCACTTGAATATTTCATTTTATATTAAAACAAAACAAAAGCAGTGAGAGGGCACTCCCATCCTCTGGATTACTCCTTAAATGCCCAAAATGGCTGGGGCTGGGCCCAGGACTGGAGCCAGGAGTTGGGAACTCAATCCAGTTCTCCCCCATACACAGGCTACAGAGACCCAGCTGCCTGAGATACCGACGGCTGCTTCTGGGTCTGCACTGGCAGGAAGCTGCAGTCAGGAGCCAGAGCCAGGAACTGAGCCCAGGCACTCTGCTTTGGGACAAGAGTGTCTCAGTCAGCACCTTCTCTACTAGGCTAAATGTCCACTCCGTCACTGTGTGTTTAAAATACATTTTCCTGGAGGCTGAAGATAGCAAACATCTTTCATTTTGTTATTTGCCACTGTCGGTGCTGAAGTAACTTCATATCATCTGCTTATCTTCCAGTTTCTAGTTTGCTAAGAGTTTTCTTTAATCATAAATGGGTGCTGGATTTTATCAAATGCTTTACGGCAACATTTGAGATCATCTTACGATTTTTTTTCTTGAGCTTGTTGATATGATTAATTTCATGAGTTTATACTGACATAGTTCCAATTCAACTTAAGAATAGTGAGTTCTTTGAGAAGCAATGACTTGAACAGCCCTTGTCTTGACTGTAAAGGAACATTTTTTTCCCTCTTAATGGAGAATGGGACTGGGAATGGGAGAG